ACACCACTTAATCTTTATAAAAGCACTCTATATTCCTTACTAGCACTTGCTGCAATCGAGGAATATTTGTTCACTTTTTTTTAAGATTTTATATATTTATTCTTGAGAGACAGAGACAGAGAGAGGCAGAGACATCGGCAGAGGGAGAAGCAGGCACCATGCAGAAATCCTGATGTGGCACTTGATCCCAGCATCAGGGATCACGCCCTGAGCCAAAGGTAGACAAGCTCAACCGCTGGCCACCCAGGTACAGGATGAGCCTTTGACTAACACCAAAGTTGGTCAAAGGATAATGAGGTGATTTGTCTGCAGGTGTGGAATTCCCAACAGTGTAAGATTGACCAGAGTTCCCAAAGAAGGGGTTGTTAAATAATCTCTGAAGTCCAGTCAATTCTAGTATTTTGTTAACTTTTCTATCCAGTAGATTAAAAATGGAAGAGGTCCAGATTGAATAATGACTCAGTAGCTCATGTTGGACTAATCCTTTCATAGTTGATAATTATAAACTTTGGGTACAGTATTTGGGATCCCTGGGTGGTGCAGCGGTTTGGCGCCTGCCTTTGGCCCAGGGCGTGATCCTGGAGACCCGGGATCGAATCCCACATCCGGCTCCCGGTGCATGGAGCCTGCTTCTCCCTCTGCCTGTGTCTCTGCCTCTCTCTCTCTCTCTGTGACTATCATAAAAAACAAAAACAAAAACAAAAAAAACCAAAAACAAACAAAAAAAACTTTGGGTACAGTATTTAAAAGAAACCATCTGAGGTTCCTGGAGAGAAACAAAAGTAGGTAGACTCTGGAGAAGATATGACCCTTGAAAGAAGAGAATCACACCCGCTAAGTGAGATCTACATTTATGTGCCTCTTTTCTTAAAGCATTCCCCAGTCCACATGGCATGGAGCAGCTAAACCAAAGCAGAAAGCTGCAGTTGTATTGGTTTGACAGGTTAGTAGAGTATAGGCTAACAAAGTAGATGGAAAATGAGGAAAGCTAAAAAGATGCCCAGCTCCATCAATAAGTCTGACTGATGCCTCCTTTAAAACTGTATTGCAGTTCAACTCATTTGTTTTTCATACTTTCCCACATTTGCTAATCTTGGGAGCACTCTCCAATAAACTTCTCGCTTGCAAATCACCATAGCAGAGTTGGCTTCCTGGCTGAGGAAACTGACTTGCAACAATCCAATTGATATTTATGGAACATTACACTGAACAACTATAGACTACCCATTCTATTCAAGTGCAAAGGGAACATTCATTAAGATAGAGCCTACTGAGCCTACATGAATTTCAGTGAATGTCAGAGATGTCAAAAGTTTAGAACCTTATAGATTATGTTCCTTGCTCACAAGTGAATCATATTAAAAATAATAAATTATCTGAAAGAGTGGTGGAATTTGAAAATGAAACATGTTTAAATAATACATGAGTCAAAAAAGAATCACAAAGAAATTAAGAATAATTTGAATTCAACAGTAATGAAAGTTATGAAATGCCAAGTTTCTGAGATGTAGCTAAAGCAATGTGTAGAGGGAAATGCATTGCTTTAAATGTTTATATTAAAAAAGATAAAAGGTTTAAAATTAATGGTTTATATTTCTATTTTAAGAATCTAGGAAAAAAAATCAAACTCTTAAATCCAAAGGAAGGAGAAGAAAGGAAGTAATAAAGAGCAGAAATGAAATACAAAACAAACAATGGAGAATATTGGAAAAGCTGCAAATTGATTCTTTAAAAGATTAACAAAATTTGTAAATTCCTAGCAACACAAATTAATCCAAAAGAGAGAAACAACAAATTTCTCCTATCAAGAATATCAGGGAAAATATCCTACAGGGAAAAAGATCCTCCAGAAAATGAAAACATAATAAAAAAATTTATGAATAAGCTTATGCCAGTAGATTTCAACAACTAAGAATGGACAAATTGCTTGAAATCACATATTGCAAATACTGAAATAAGAAACAGAGAATATGAATAGATTTATAAAACAGATTGAGTTCATTATTAAAAACTTTTCCATGAAGAGAACAGCCCCAGATGGCCTCACTGTTGAATTCTTCCAATAATTAAGAAAAAAGATAATACCAATATTACATAAACTCGTTCAGAAAAAGAAAAGGCAGGAACACTTCCCAGCATATTTTGTGAGCTCAACATTACCCTGGTACCAAAATCTAGCAAAGATATTATCAGAAAAAGAAATTATAGACCAGTACTTTTCATGAACACGGATGCAAAAATCCTCAACAAAATATTATCAGATTGAATCCAGCAATATATAAAGCTATATATATATATATATATATATATTAACTATAACCAAGTGGATTTATCTCAGGAATGCAAGTTTGGTTTAACATTGGAAAATCGATCAGTTGATTCACCACATTAAGCAAATAAGTGATTTTTTTTTAATAATTGATTTTTAAAACTATATCCTTCTCAGTTGAAAATCACTTCGCAAATTCAACATGTTTCATGATAAAAACTCTCAGGCAACTAAGACTATTAAGGAACTATCTTTGATAAAGTGCATTTACAAAAATCTACAGCTAACATCTTAGTAATGTGAATTAGTGAACATTTTCCCCCTAAGATTAGGAAAAGGTGGGTATCTACTTTCATCATTTCCATTCAGTAGTGGGATACTAGACACTGTAATGAAAGAGGTGAGGAAAGGAAAGGCTTTAAGGTTGGAAAAGGAGAAGTAGGGACACCTGGGTGGCTCAACAGTTGAGTGTCTGCCTTTGGCTCAGGGCGTGATCCTGGAGTCCTGGGATCAAGTCCCACATTGGGCTCCCTGCTTGGAGCCTGCTTCTCTGTCTGCCTATGTCTGTGCCTCTCTCTCTCTCTCTGTCTCTCATGAATAAATAAATAAAATCTTTTTAAAAAAAAAAGGAAAAGAAGAAGTAAAGATGTCTCTATTTGTAGATGACATGATTGCTTAAATAGAAAATTTTAGGAAATGTATAAACAACCACTAGAAACAATAATTTATCACATCAACATATTGACAACAATTGGCAAATATATGATACTAGCAGAAAACAAATGGAAATTGAAGCTTAAGGAACAGAGTCTTAAAATGCCACCCCCCCAAAAAAAACCCAGAAGAAATATTAGGAATCAGTTTAACAAAATACATGCAACACTTCTATATTGAAAATTACAAAACATTTCAGAGAGAAACTAAAGAAGATTTAGTAAGTAGAGTGCTCTATCATGTTCATAAAATAAAACATCCAGTAGTATTGAGATCTTATTTCTACCCAAACTGAGCCATGGATTCTGTATAATCCCAAACCATATCCCAACAGACTTACATACAAGTTGATTTTAAAATGCATATGAATATAGGACCTAGAATACTCTAAACAATCTTGAGAAAGAAAATCTAAGTTGGAGGACTCATTTTGTCTGATTTTAGGCCTTTAAAGCCTCAAAGCCATAGTAATCAAGGCTGTGTAAGGACAAACAGATCAATGGAGTATAATAGAGTGCAGAAATAGACCCATACATACACAATTCATTAGTGCCAAGAAAGCCACCAAAGCAATTCATTGGAGAAAAAATAGTTTCATAAATGGTGCTAGGAAACTGGATAAATGAACCCTACCTCACACCACTTGAAAAATCAAGTTTGGCTGGATTATAGACCTAAACAAAAAAGCTAAAACTATTAAGTTTCTGTAAGAGATTAGAAGACAGTATCATCGTGATCTTGGGGTTGGCAAAGATTTTAAAAGCAGATACAGAAAGGTTTAATGATAAGGAAAATCTGGACTTCATAAAATTTTAAATTTGTTTAAAACATCTGCAGATAAATGTAACAGATTTCATATATGTACATATAAATATGTATCCCTGATATGTATATGTATATATATTTGTATGTACATATAAAATACTCCTAATCAAATAATCCAAATCAATATTAAAAATATAAACAACCCACATTTTAAAAATGGACCAAAGACTTAAACCGACACTTCACAAAAGAAGATATGTTAATGGCCAGTAAACCCATGGAAATTGCTCAACTTCTTTCAGTATCAGAAAAAAGAAATTAAAATACAATTAGATACTATTTTATACCCAAAGGAATGGCTAAGATTAAAGACCGACAGCAACCAAATGTGTTAAGGATGTAAAGCACAGGAACCCTCAAATGAAATATACAAAATAACACAACCACTATGGGAAAATTTTGGTGGTTTCTTACAAAGGTAAGCATATTTCTACCCTATAATCCAATAAATTCACTTCTAGATATTTTCCTGAAGAAAAGTCTCCCTTTCACTCTCTCTCACTTTCTCCCTTCTCCCACAAAATGCTTAAATAACAAATCCCCATACAATCATATTCATAATACCCTCAAACTGGAAACATTTCAAATACCCATCAAAAGGAGAGAGTGTAAAAAGTTGGGTTTATTCATCCAGTGAAATGCTACTTGGCAACTGAAAAACAGAATGACTATTGGTATGTGTAGCCTAGATGAGTCTCAAAACCACTCTGTTGAGGGCAGAAAGCCCTTCACAAAAGATTAGTGCATATAATTACCTTTTTATGAAGTTTAAGAAGAGGTAAAATTAATATATGGTGACAGACATCAGAAGAGGGTTTGCCTATGAGAACGTGTGGACGGACCAGAAAGGGGCACAAGAGAACTTCCTGAGGCAACATAAATATAATAAATCTTATACCAGTTACTTGTTCAATACCAGAACTCAAAGAGTTGTACACTTGAGAACTGTGTATCTCAGCGGAAGTAAATTTCACTTCAATTAAACTATAATCTCAAAAAACTAGAAGGGATCTAATTGTATCGTTTAAATAATCATTTTTCTCAGTGGGATATCTGGATCTCAAGTGAATAATCTGTTTTTTTCTGAACTTATTTTTTTCTGTCCAGAAAAGTAATATATATTAGTCTGCCCAGGTTGCCATCACAAAATATCACAGACTGTGTGGCTTAAAGAACAGAAATTTATTCTTACACAGTTCTGGAGGCTGGATGTCTGCGATCAGGGTCCCACTATGTTTGGTTTCTGGTGAGGGCCTCTTACTGGCCTGCAGACAGCTTCTTTCTCCCTGTGTCCTCACCTGGTGGAGGGAGAACAAGCTCGTTAGTGTCTCATTTTATAAAGGCCCTAATTCCATCATGAGGGCTCCACCCTCATTACCTTAACTAACTTTTGTTACCTTCCAAAGGCACTATCTCCAGTTACCAGCACACTGGGGATTAGGGCTTCAACATGTGAATTTGGGGGATGCAGTTCAGTCCACAGCAGTATACTAGAAAATCTGGAAAATATAGGTAAGTGGAAGGTAAAAGAAAAAAGCCATGTCATTGCATTACCAAAATATAATTAGTTATTATTCCAATGTATTTGATTTTCAGAGTTATTTTATCCCTTATGTGGTAGTTGTTCTGTCCCAATAAACTTGGAGCGTGAGTTTTTTAATTACAAATGAAAAGTTTTCTGTGGTACTAAAATCTCTTTATATGTACCCCTGTCTAATAGCCACAAAAGTTTTCTACTGCATGACTGTGCTGTAGTTTATTCATTATTTTGTGACTAAAGGTTGGAATTCTTTCCAGTATTTTGCTAGTATCAGTAATGCTATGAAAAACATATTTTGTGCAGGAGGCTTTTTCTATAACTGAGATTCCTTTCTTGGGATAGAATTCCAGAAAATGGAAATTGTAGGTTAAAAGGTTATGCTCTAATTACATGTCGCCAGATTCCTTTCCAAAAGGATGTCCCACTTTATACTGCCCCCAGTAGTGGAGCAGGAAGATGCCATATCTGTTTGCTCTAAGGGGAGGAGGTCATTTCTACTAATGTGTGTGTTGGGTTGTTTCCACAGGTTAGCAAAGACAGCTGAAGCCAACTTGTGCAGGATTCCCCTGGCTCTTCTGGCTTAAGACCCTACCACCTCCTCTCCCCGGCATCCTGTGTTCTGGGCCTCACCTAGACAAGTCTGAGTAGGAACAAGCCATCTCTTCCATTCATAGCCATGAATTTCCTCCGGCGGCGCCTCTCTGACAGCAGTTTTGTGGCCAACCTGCCTAATGGCTACATGACAGACCTGCAGCGCCCAGACAGCTCCACCAGCTCCCCTGCCTCCCCAGCCATGGAAAGGAGGCACCCCCAGCCCCTGGCAGCCTCCTTCTCCTCTCCAGGATCCAGTCTCTTTAGTTCCTTCTCCAGTGCCATGAAGCAGACCTCACAAGCCCCCTCAGGGCTGATGGAGCCTCCAGGTCCCTCTGCTCCCATTGTTCAAAGGCCCAGGATCTTGTTGGTGATCGATGATGCCCACACAGATTGGTAAGCCAAAATCTACAGGTGTTTCCACCTAGGCGCAAGAGAGGAGATGGGGCTTATCTCAATCTTGGAGGGTAGTGGGGGTGGGGAGCTGAGAGGCTTGGTGATATTACAGATAGGCCGGAGGGAAGGAAACTGAAACGATGTTTACCATGTGGCTGCTGTATGCCAGGCACCATGGCACCTTCTTTGTGCTTTACATTTACGGTCCCAATCCTTTACCTGCAAATCCAAAACCCAAAAAGCTCTGACAACTAGAAAATATATTAAAGATTTTATTTATTTATTCATGAGAGACACAGAGAGAGAGGCGGAGACACAGGCGGAGACACAGGCAGAGGGAGAAGCAGACTCCCCTCAGGGAGCCTGATACAAGACTTGATCCCAGGACCCCAGGATCACACCTTAAGTCGAAGGCAGATGCTCAACCACTGAGCCACCCAGGCATCCCTAGAAAATATTTTACAATCCATTTGGCAGCAAAGCCTGGTCTGAGGGAAAGTGAGACTATAATAGTCTTCATTATACTACTCACTGTGCTTGACCATATGAGCTACTGCAATCTTGTTTTACATTAGCTATGGGGGTGCTGCCCAGAGCTCACCACAAGTATTACATAATATATGGTATGTGTGCCATATTACCTTCCTAAAAATGGAAAACTTTAAAAATTTGAAATGACTCTGGCAAGTTGCTTACTATCTTTCTGCCTCAGCCATCTTCCATCCATTCAATTAGGTTGCTGTGAGGGTATAAGAAACCAACATAGGCCCATGGTCCTTATCTAACACCCTTAGGACCAGAGTGCCTAATTTTGTATCCCATCTCTTCCATGGACTGGCAGTCTGGCTCCAGAATCTATTCTTCTAACACCAAGTATGGGCAGAAATGATGTGCCTTCCAGCCTCTTGTTAGGCATGCTGAGAGATGGTTAGCTCTCCAGAGGCAGAGACTGGGCACGTGTGTCAAAGTCATTGCAGCAGCTATCCCCTGAGTAGTTATTGAGCACAGCTGAGTACAAGTCACAGTCTTAGGTACTCAGGTAAGTGATGAACAGACCCTGTTTGCGTGGATATCTGGCAGTTGGAGAATAAGGTCCTATACCAAATTTTTGGTAGAGATAGGTGATAAATATTATTATCAGTCCTAGTTGGAGACATAGAACTTGCAGTCCAGGAAATAAGTCCAAATGTGAGACATGGAAGCACTCTCTCCAGGGCATTTCTGATAGTAGACCCCTAAATGGTCATGGGGCCAGAGAGCGAGGTTGTATGCGTGTCTTCAAAGGCTGCCACATCACAGGTTCTCAGTAATTATGTCTTAGGTAAAAAAAAATTAATGCATTCAGTTCACTGAGCATGCCAGAGGCTCTGCTATTCCTACATGCATGTGTGTACTCACATTCATTCCTTGAGAAGTTAACTCAGGTTGGGAATGATTGAGCTTGTGCTTTGCAGTGGGAGATATTTATAGTATATAATACATATTCAGGACAGTCAACATGGAAGCATGTTCAGCAGGTGTAGACAGCAGTCTTTACTTTCCTGCTAAGAAATCAGTTCTCCTTAAGCAAGATGGTCATATGCATGGCCTCTTTTCTGATCCAGTCTACATTGTCTTCAGTGTTGCTTGAAGCCTGTCATTGTGAAGCCTCATTTATCTGTGTCTGTGCTTATGTAAAGCACCATCTTTAGGTTCTGAGTGTAGCGGTTGATTTCTGCAGAGATGTTGCTTCCAGGCATTCTTGCCTGTATAATCCTGCTGCCTGTCTGCCCAGTAATGAAGATGCCTGCATGGCCTTTGCAGTCCTCTGTTTCTTTTTAACCCAGTGCTTGACCTTGATTTTGAGCATTCTCTGCTGAGAATGTTATCTTTGGCTTAGTCAGGGTTTGCCATGATATGGTGGCAGTGGTTGGGGGGGTTATTTTAAAACCTGTTTGTCATGAAAGTTACTTTCCTGTGTGGAGGCTGAGCTGATAAATGACAGCACGGTACAATGGTGAGGAACACAGACTTCAGAGCTAAGCTGTCTGGGTTCAGATCCCATCTCTATCCCGTTGTAGCTAATTGACCTTTGCAAGTTACTGTACCTAAATGTGAATAAAATAGTACCTACCTTGTAGAGTTAATGTATGTAATTGGGTTAAAATCTGGGTTAATATAAAAGTGCTTAGGATGTGTCAAGTAGACAGTAGGTGATACTTAGGTGTGAGTTACTATTGGAGACTATTTGTGACCTTCTTTGCAACATTAATCATCTTGATGACAGCCCCTCATGGGCATGTTTATTTAATCTCTTCATCCCCAATAATGGGCTGAGTGGATTAGGATTTATCCTGTTGTACAGAGTTTTCTATTAATCATTCGGACCTGTTAGCTCCTGAGTGATAAAGTTGGGTCGTATTAATCTGTCCTCCTGATGTCCATGTGGTAAGTAGTATGGTGTAGGGGCACAGTAAATGAGGTTGAAATGCAATGAATGGCCTCACTCAAGTAATATTTATTTATTATTTTAAAAAGTTTTTATTTAAATTCCAGTTAGTTAACATACAGTGTTATATTAGTTTTAGGTGTACAATATAGTGATTTAGTACTTCCATACATCATTCACTGCTCATCACAACAAGTGCACTCCTTAATCCCCATCACCTATTTCACCCATCCAGGTAACCTTTAAATTTTGACTTGGATCTTCCATCTCTAATCCACAGGCATGACTAATGGATGAATTACAGGCTGTGCATACTGATGGGTGACATGATTTTGGCCAGAGGAATGTCTCTTGGTGTTTTTAAATCATGCCTTTTATACTTACACTTAGGTCTCGAAAACAGCAGTCTTTTTCTTGCCCCTTAGTGGGTAAGAACAGGGAGAAGGGAGAAACTAACACTCATTAACTTACCTGGGAGCTGCCTCTGCATCCATTGGACATTTGTGATAGAGATTTCCTGCCTGCAGGCACATCAGCTTTTCCTGCAGGACTCCATCCTAGATTCTTCTCCAACTTCCTATATTCTCTGAATCTCAATACATTCCCAGCTTTCTCCAGATCTATGCAGGCAGCCTGGGAATCCCAGTCTTCCTTTGCAGAGTTCCTGAAGGATGCTGGTCCCCTGCCACCAGGAGCCGCCAGCAGGTGGCGAGCCAACCCCACTGTCCCAGGCGGCTTTGGCAGAGCCTGGGCTGCCTTGGTCAGCCCCCGCCCAGCCCCTCCTCCATTGTGCAAACTGTCTCCTGAGAGGAAGAAGTTGCTAAAGGGGAGAAGCCAGCTCACAGGGCCCCCTTTTTACCCCCCTTTGAGATGATAATGAAGGGGGAGATAGCCACTGTCTGGACTGAGAGTGAACCCACCAGGAACAATGCTGCTCCCTTTTTTCCTTCTCAGCCCCAGATCCTCTGTCTTCCCATTCTGGGTCCTGGACTTGCCTGCAGAGTCAAGTTTCCTTGTGGTGAGGGAGTTTGTGGGGAAACCCCTGCCCTCTCCCTCCTAATGGGGCCAGCTTGCAGATCCTCTGAACCAGTGTGGGCCCCCCAAGGACTATCTGATACCTGCCCAGTGACCTGACTTTTCATCCTTAGAGGAGAAACAGAGGGCCCCAAAGTTACCTTTGCTGAGATAAACAACTCATGGCTGAACTTTGTAAGATCCCTTTGTAAGATCACCTTTTGGGGTTGGCCCTGGAGGTGAGTCTGGCTAGAGCAGTGTCGTTTGGGGAACTTTGGACCAGCTCAGTAGTAGGTCTGAACTTAGGTTGGTGTCCTCTGGGATTAGGGGAGATCAGTCAGTCTTGAGAACCACAAGGGAAAGGAGAAATAAATAAATGGATTTCAAGCTCAGTATTTTTCAGCCCTACTATTTGTCTACTCATTCTCCTGCCTAGAAACTTCTAGCAGCCTCACTGGTCTCAGACCTCCAGTCTTGACCTCTTGGTTACCTCCCATGTTACCACAAAAGAGTCATCTTTTTGAAACACAGACTTGATCAGTTTGCTCCCATCGTGCATCCCTAGTTATAACCCTCTGTTGCTGCATCATTGCCCTCAAGTTCAGATTCAGTCATCAGCTTGCCTGCCTCCCTCTAATTCTGTCTCTGGCTCCACTTCCTGCTGTACTATTTATTCTGCAGGAATAAAAAACAACCTGTACTTCTCAAACACACTTGCCTTAGCACATTCTGCTCCCTGCTACCTGGAATACCCTTCCCTATCTTGTTCATTGTCCAATGTCCATTCATCCTTTAAAAGCCTGCTCAGGTGTCACTTCTTCTGTGAAGTCTTCCCTGGCATGCTCTATCCTGCCAGCAGTGCTAACAACCACCTCCTTTATACGACTTAAACATATGTCATTGTGCTACGGTAATTTCACACTGTATTATCATTGGCTGCTAGGTGGCTGTCTTTTCTGCCAAAACAAGGCCCATGTCTTGTTCTTCCTTATATCTATGGTGCTCAAAACACGGTCAGTGTTCAGTTAGCATATGTCATTGCCTCCACTCCAGTCCAATGAGGATAACTTTTAATGGGTATAATGGGGCCTGAAAACTGCCTTACCTTAGGAGTCAGCAATGTAATACATATAGTTGAGGGGTTTCTGTTTTTACTCACCTAGGTATAAAATCTTGGCTCTTTATTTTCCAGTATGTGAGGGTAACTATGAGCTGCTATTCAAGATCATTAAAAGAAAGTTGGCACAAAGTTTTATTATTACCCACAGAATGTACCAGAACCCCAGATTTGATTTTGAAATCAAACACTGAATGTGACCAAAAAACAAACAAAAAGATTGCTTATAATTGAATTTGGGTTGGATTTACCTGTCTGCTCATGATTTTACCTACAAGATCTTCAGAGCCTGGATGGAGTTGAGGAGGGGTTGGGGTGAGGTGATAGAAGCAGCTAAGCCTTTGCCCCCAACCCCTCCCTCCAGTGTCCTGTGGAACTCTGGCTCTCCTCTCCTCTTACCTCACCCATGGCCGTGTTCCCAGAATGTCTGCTATTCCATTT